ACCAGCACCTTCTTCGCTCTGGGTGATGCTGGTGTGTGGGGGGGTCAGAGCAAGAGGGAAACAAGGGTCCTGATCACACTGGGCCTGGAATCAGAGCCTCTGGCCTTAGGAGAAACTGGCACTGGCTTGTCCGAAGCAATGCTGGAGCCAGTGGGTGCAATGGAGGTTGGGCGGCCCGTCTTGGGGCCCTGGAATGAGGGTCACATGGCCCGCCCAACCAGCCTACACCCACCTCTCAGAGCTACCCTCTGACTTGGAGGGAAAGGACAGACCGTAATGGGAAGACCCAGAAAGCTTCCAAGCTCATCCCTGGGCTCAGGGGAAGGGCCCGGAACCCTTGCAACAGGGAAGAGTTTGAGCCCTGCCCTTTGGCTCCCTCCCCCAGCTCCCCACCCCATGACATCCAACCATCCCCTGGAGAGCTAGGTAGTACCTGTCTTGCTTGGAGGGCTCAGGTGGTTAACGCTGGAGCTGCTGAGACTGTGATGTCATCTCTGTGAGTCAGGGGCCTGGGGTCCTATAGGGAACCAAAAGAGGGTCTCTGCAAAGTCCTCTGCACAGCAGTGCACCATAGACCATGAACAGGTCCAGGATGCGAAGCCAGTAGCAGGAGAGGAGTGACAGGCTTCCCGGTCCCGAGGCAGAGGAGCAGGTGGTGCCTGAGCACCTGGGGCCCGGGGCCTCACCGCCTGGCTTCAGATTCTGGTCCCGCCACTTCCCATCTGCGACTTCAAGCAGCTTAATCTCACCAGGCCTCACTCTCCTCCTCTGTAAAAGGGGAATGATCATTGTACCTGTCTCATGTTACTGCTGTGGGCCGTAATGAATGACGTAATCCACGTGAAGCTCTTAGCAGCGCTGGGCACACCATTACTATACCTGTTATTACTATCAAATGCTCATCTGGTGGCAGGTATGAGCTAAGCACTTTATACGCAAGACTTCATTTAGTCCTTACGCCCACACATGAGGGGAGGTGCTTTTTCTTGCCTTTTTACACGAGACACAGAACTGTGGAGAGATTAAGGAACGTGCCCAGGGTCATCCAGCTGACAGATGGTAGAGCCGGGATTCTAACTTAGGTCTGATTCCACGCAGCAACCCTTGACTGTTCTGCTCCATTTCCCACCCAACATGTGAAGCAGGGCAACAGCAAGTTTGACATTTCTTTTCTTTTCTTTTGAATCCTCATCCAAGGATATGTTTATTGGTTTTAGAGAGAGAGGAAGGGAAAGAAAGGTAGAGAAATATTGATGTAAGAGAAACAGTGATCAGTGTCCTCCTGTATGTGCCCTGACTGGGGGGCAAACCCGCAAGCTTTTGGTGCAGGAGACAACGCTCCAACCAACTGGGCCACCCGGCCGTGGCCAGGTGTGAGCATTTCATTACATACAGCTCAACTAAAACCCACTGGGAAATAAAACGTACATCTTCACATTATGATTTGCTTTTTAAAACGGCATGCTGTGATGTGCAGGTATGTAAAATGTGTTCCCATTGCCCTTTTTAAAGAGAACGTTCTTCCTGGCAGGCGTGTCTGGATTCAGGCAAGACTTAAACCCTCCTTTTGTGGTTATCGTTACAAGGTGATAGATTTCTCTGCACGTTTTCTTCTCCTTTGAAGCCTAATGCTGTCTTGGATACTTCACCTTTTCTCCCATCCCTCTGAAGTGTCTGACTGCTAACAGACATTTGTTTCTCCAAGCCGAAAGAGCACGGCTTGCCTTAGGCCACTTGTCCTGCCGATGCCGTTTCACCTGACTGGGGAAGAGTCTAACAGGGCTCAGAGGGTTCACTGGGAAATTGAGGTGTCACAAGCTGGCTTCACTAGAGGCTGATCAGCACCATCAGCTTGACAGCTTGAGGGTAGCAGGTCCACCGTCCTCAGACAAGACGGTCTGTACTAATAAGGGGGCCGCCAGCTCAGTCTCGCAGACCTGCTTGCCATTTAAGGTTGCTCAAGCCTCTGTATTGTGAAATCTTCCTGTCTAGCCACAAAGCAGCAGATGAACTAAAGGATAAATGTGAGACTCTCAGCTCTCCCAGAGGAATCCCTCTCCTAGGTGGTATTTCATATAAGAGCCAGGTTTGTGCCAGTGCCGCCCTGGCTGGAGCTGAAGAGACAGACCAGGTGACCTCCAGCTGGTGCCCAAGGCCAGCAAGAGAGACCTCCGCAATGGCCCAGGACAGATGTGCTCCATCTCAGGTACAGAGCTAGGGCAAAAGGTGTTTGGCTTATGGATTTTGAAGACTTAAAATGATTCAGTGAGAAAATGATGGGAAGAGAAGAGGCTTTACTGCTCCGGTTTGATGTGTCAAGCGGGAGCCTGGAGATAGGACTCACGAGACCACTTCAGATGGGTCTGGGCAGGGCCGGGTGCTCCGCGGCCTGGCGCAGGCTCTGAAAGAGGCCAGCGAGCAATGATGTGTCAAACTGAGAGGAATGAGTCTAGCTTCTGTTCGTCGCGGACCCTTGGGGGACTGCTGGCCCTTGCTATATGTTTATTCACTTTTTTAAATGCACTGTGGTTGGCCTAGTTTTACTTAATGCCTAATAAAGGGAAAAACTGTTTATATAGCACCCCTGGGTCTGACACTGAGCAGCTGAAGTTAGCAAGATCTTTCACTTTCAGAGATGACAGAAGGCAGCAGCCTGGGAGGAAAACAATTCCTTTAGAAGCAGGCCATCCCCAGGTCAGAGTGGCACTATGTTAAGTAAGACAAAATCAGGGTTAGGAGAGATCAAACCTCAGGGGGGAAAAAAGCCCCAACTGCATACTTGGCTGCTGGGGTTTATTGCGTAACAGTCCAGGATAGATGGACAATTCACCGCCCAATTCATGTGCACTTCTTACAGTCCAGATATATCTCTCTGCATAAACTCTGCTTAACCTTCTCCCCGCGGTACATCAAAAGAGGCCCGAGAGAATGGCCAGAGTCTAAGGTAAGCTCCCGGGGAGACATCCATCTTCCTGTCTGCCCTGGTTCTGCCTTCTAAATTTCATTCCCATTCCTTGCTTAGGTGAGGGCTACAGAGCTTTCCATCAAAGCTCTCATGACCAGGGTCTGCTTTCTCTCCAGTCTTCACCGGCCGTGAGACACTCCGCAGTTCTTTAATAGGCTCGGCTTTGGATATACAGGTGAGACTGCCCAGCACAGGGCTCTGGTGACCTTTGTCACTGCCAGGCAATTTGGTAGGAGACAGGTTTTAAGTCTCAGGCTGAAGCCATGACAAATGCTGGTGCCTAGTGTCTCCTGAGAGCTTACTGTGTGTTGGGGATCCTGTAAGAACTTTGCATGCCTCTCATCTGACCCTGACCACTGGTTAAGAAGGGAGCGGCACCATCCTCGCTTCATAAATGAGGAAACCAAGGCTCAGGCCAATTCATTTATCCAACAAGTAAGCAGCAGAGCCAGGATTTGAACTTGTAACCAGTGCCTACACTGCTTCCTCCCTTAACGAGAGTGACCCTGGGTGACTCCGTGCTTACATGGGGAAGCATCTGGCAGCTTCCTGCCCCCGAGGTGACATGGAGGTCACGCCTCAGAATTGTCAAGTTTCTTTGCTGTCACTTTTCAAAGCATAGATTTCTACCCAGTTTCCAACAGTAAGGTGGTGAGTTCAAGTACAAAGTTTGCGAGATTTGGAAGCAGATTGAACTGAACGAGATTCTGGCTTTTTGACTGAAGAGCTTCTTGACCTTGGACAAATTACTCTCTCTGAGGTCCCTTTCTCATCTACAAAATAGGCATAACAGCTCCTGTCTGCAGAGGTGCTGTGAAGCTTGAGGTGAAAGCTCGTTCTCTCTCTGCTCCTTAGCCAGGGAATGGAGGAGCAGGCAGGGCCACAAGGAGGCTCCAAAGGGGAATCCCTGTAGCTCAGCGATGCTGGAAACGTGGACTTCCTCTCTGGGCACAACTCTGGTGATCACCGACCACCTGCGTGCCACCTCTGGCCAGCCTTCCTGAGGCCGCGCCTTTAGATGGCGCTGGCCCCTTCGGGGTGATGACCGTTGTCAGAGGATCACAGCTCCGAGGGCAAAAGCCCTCCTGTGAGGCCACCCCTAGCAACACAGACATCTTCTGGCGCTAGGGCTAAACACTTCCAACGAATTCATTCTGACATCTCGTTTGGGTTTTTTTCCAATTAAAATAATTGGGAAGACTGCAGAAATATAGAAAAATTTTCTTACAGTGTTATATGGAAACAAAACCTGTGATGATGACCTTGTAAAACTCTATAAACATGTCTGTGTATTATACGAGGACAATATTAAGTGATTGTGTGAGGGCTGGAAATTGTGATTTTCCTTTTTTAAAACATTCAATTATCATTCAGTTTACAAAGAACGTTTTAGATACAATCTGATGGGAAGGAAGCTGACTTTTAAGCAGCATGCGCACACCATTCCTGCTTGCAGCCCTCGTTCTGCGGGCTGCGCCTTTCCCAGATTCGGTTCCGGGGCTTGGACCAGCTTCCTTTGGCAGGAAGAACCATCCTGGGCTGGGAGGGGAGACGTGCACCTGTACAAGGCCCTGGGCTGCCCAGGGAAGCTACCCACCCGCAGCTGGTCGCCTCTTATTCACGGAGCGCCCGTCTGGCTGGATGAGCTAGCGCATCCGCTTCCCTGCAGTGCCCTCCTGTGGCAGAGGCCTGCCAGGCACCAGCCAGGCCTGACCACCTACAACACGGGCCCCTTGTTTTTTCCTTTTCTTTTAAAAAATATTTTTAACCCTGCCCGGATGGCTCAGTTGGTTAGAGTGTTCTCCTAACACTCCAAGGTTGTGGGTTTGATCCCCAGTCAGGGCATGTACAAGCATCAACCAATGCATGTGTAAGTAAGCGAAACTACAAACTGATGTGCTTCTCTTTCTCTCTCTGTTCCCCCCTTTCCTCTCTCTCTAAAATCAATAAGCACATTTTAAAAAATGTTTTAAATGAGCTAATTTTTAAAGGAATTATTGGGCATATAACATTAAGTAGGAGCCATCACAAAAACTATTAATATTGCAGTTTTTCTTTAATCACTATGTTTTCTATAGGCAAAGTAGATACACATTTATGAAATAACAAAATCTGCTTCTTTTTTAAATGGCTGATTTCAGAAGAACTAGTGAAAGGATATTCAGCATTGTTGGTTGTAGGTGAATCTTAATTTTAAAGGTCATTTCAAAAAAGCAAATAATTCTGCTTCTTTTTAAAATATCGGATTTCAGAAAAACTAATAAAAGTAAATTCAGCAGTGTTGGTTGCAGGTGAATCTTAATTTTAAAAGCAATTTCAAAAAATCAAATAAATAAAAAATAAAGGCCCTCACACATATCTGGAGGCCCTCATGCTTCTAAACCACTTTGGAGGCCTAGGACTGAACAAAAGGGTGTTACAATGAGACACTGAGCATGTCCTAAGGGAGGTGGGTCCATCCCTCAGGGCAGGAGGGTCCAGGTGAGCTGAGTGTCCAAGGAAAAGCAGGAAGTCAAAGCCAGCATCTGTCATAAGCACTAGGGTCCATGGCCTGAGCCCCCACAGCAGGCAGGGGAGCACAGCTCATTGTGGCTTTTCAAAGAGGTATTCGAGATCTGGGGCACGCAGTCTCTGTTCTTTGTTTTTGTTTTTAGCAAAGTCTCTCAGCAGTGCCATGACTTCATTTTCAAATATTTCTGGGGCTGGTTTTGCTTCTGCAAGAGAAGAATGGGCAGAAAGAATTATGTCAGTCAGTCAATATTTAGGCAAAAGGATCTTGAAACTTGAAACTCGGGCCTGGGCCAAGAGTCCCGGGAATTACACAGACTGTCTCCATTCTTCCTCTAAATACACAGAGCAGCCTGCTTGCGGAAATAGTTCTGTTGGAACAGCGGCTCCTGTGGGCTTACATGGTCGTTCATGGCTGCTTTTGTGCTACGATGTGGAGTAGCTGCAGCAGAGACCATAGGACCACGGGACTGAGATAGCCACCACCTGGTCATGAACAAGTTTGCCAACCTCTGGCCTGTCCGGTCTCGGCTGTCCTATTTTACTCTGCATTTGGTATTTCAGTTGCTTTCTGGGCATTATGTTTCCCCTTCTAGTCTACACATTTCCTGAGGCAAAGGTCCTTGGTTGTTAGTGACAGAAACTAATTAACTGAAGTAAAGTTAAGCCAAAAGGAATTTATTGGGAGGCCATTAGAAGCACACAAAAGCGACATGAACCTGAGGAAGCAGATTTCAACGACAAAGGCACAGAAAACGCAGCAATGTGAATGCCATCCAGTCTAATGGGAAGCAGCTGGGCAGGGTACAGCTCACCTTCAGCATCTCTTCCCACCCTGAGACACTCCAGATTCCAATGACAAGCAAAGCCTCCCATCGTGAAAGCTCAGGTAATGTGTTCTGGAATTACCCTCCTTATCAAGGCTACATACAATGCTAGGAGGGGAATTCATTAAAACAAAGTTTCAATCCCCCTCACTCAGCACAGAACCTAGCATCCAGTGGGTCGGGCATCTGGGGTTTCTTCTGTAATGATCAAAACAAGCCCTGCCTGGTGTGACTCAGTGGACTGAGTGTTGGTCTGCAAACCAAAGGCCGCTGGTTTGATTCGTAGTCAGGGCACATGCCTGGATTTTGGGCCAGGTCCCCAGTACAGGATGCATAAGAGGCAACCACACACGGATGCTTCTCTCCTTCTCTTTCTCCCTCCCTTCCTCTCTCTAAAAATAAATAAAATCTTAAAAAACAAAACAAAACACAAACCAAAAGAAAAAGCAGCTTAAAAAAAAAAATAAGATCAAGGGTATTTAGGTTCTCCCCCTAGGATGTTGAAAGTTGGAAAGACCACTGCTCTGTTCACATCCTAACAACAAAAAGCCAAGTAAACTACATATCCCATGAGTCTTGAGGTCATAAGAGAGCTGAGGCCACAGGGCAACCATGCAGAATAAATGTAAGGAAAGAGAGGTCCCTTGAAGGAGAAATTGGACGTGAGCACTTGCTCACCTGAGACAGAGAACAGGAAGAAGAGACACTGGGCATGATACAAACAGGGTAAAATGATTCAGCTGCAATGCTTAATGACCAGCTAAAAGCCAACTGTGGACAGACACAGGGGAGTTCGTACCCACCTACCAGTTCTTCTCAAGAAACCTGCACTGAGACCTGGCTGGTATAGCTCAGTGGATTGGGTGCTGGCCTACAAACCAAAGGGTTGCCAGTTCGATTCCCAGTCAGGCACGTGCCTGGGTTGTGGGCCTGGTCTCCAGTTGGGGGCATGTGAGAGGCAACCATCCATTGGTGTTTGTCTCCCTCTCTTTCTCCTTCCTTTCCCCTCTCTCTAAAAATAAATAAATAAAATTGGAAAGGAAGGAAGGAAGAAATCAATCTGCTCTGAGTATTCTCTTGACAAAGACTGAGTTTGGAACAGGAGGCCGGAGAAAGCCTCCCTCACCAATGCGGGCCAGGAGAGTAGCAGACAACTATGCAAAGAAAGCTTATCGCCCCGCCCAGCCCTGGTCTTCTACAGAACAAAAGCCTCAGGCGACTGGGGGCAGGTCAGCAAATCCTGTCTTCTACAGGGCACAGAGGAGGACCCATTTGGGCTGGTGAAAGGGTAAAAGGAAAATAAATCCTCTCTCCTGTGGAATGAACAGGGTCGCCAAGACGGCCCACCTCCAAGACCCAGGTCCACAGGGACTGAAGCTGGGCCAGGATAACAGAGAAAGCCCTCCCAACCTCCCCCTCCCCAAACTAACAAGCACCACGTAGGAAGCAACAAGAATCTCCAACTGGGGGAGGCTAAACACAGGGAGAGATTCCCTTTGAGGCAGAGAAATAAAGGGACAACTGAAAGCTGAGGGTAGAACCGGGACATTGAGAAATACCCTCTGGAAACTCAGCTCCCACCCTAAGCACATGGTAACAGTAGAGGCTGGTGGGCACTGAAGGGAGCCAAATCAATAACAAATCCAAAGTGAGCTCAATTCCTAACTAGGCTGACTTGATCCCGATGCTAGCAGCCAAGGTAGAAGCATGCCCATTTCTAGACATAAATACTACTTACCTCGGTCTCTATTGTCTTACTCATAATGTCTAACATTCAGTCAAACATTATGAGATACACACACACTGTGAAGGGAGAAAGCAATCAACAGAAACAGAAAAAGAGATGACCCAGATGTTAGACTATTAAGGAACTTAAAGTGGCTATGACGAGTACATAAAAGAATCTAGTAGAAAAAGTAGACAAAGTGTATGAACAAATGAGGAATTCCAGCAGAGAGTTAGAAAATGTAAAAGTCAAATGACAACGTTAAAAATAAAAATAAGCAAATAAGCAGACTGACCTCAACAGGTCCCTCATGAGATCTGACACAGTCAAGAATTAGTGAACCAAAGGTAGGTCAATAGATGTTATCCAATACAAACTACCCAAACTGATACATAAAGAAAAAGAGTGAGACACAAAGTAATTCCAAACGCTATAAAATAACAGTAAACAGTCTAACCTAAGCGTAATTGGATCCAACATGCTCAGAGAACCCCAAGCAGGGTAAATACCAAAAACAAGCATCTAGGCAGTCATATTCAAGCTGCTAGAAACCAAAGATAAAATGTTGAAAACATTCCAAAAGAAAAGATGCATTATATACAAAGGAACAAAGACACAGCAGACCTCTTGTCAGAAACTAGGCAAACCTGAAAACGACACATGGTAACACTGGAGAAGGTGGTGGTATGCTGAAGGTAAGTAATCAAAAGAAGAAACCCAAATCCAGCTCAACTCCCGACCACGCTGAATCGTGCACACTAACAGCCTGGCCAAAAAAAAAAAAAAAGTGTGCTCCTATGAAGTGATGAAAGAAAAATTGTGAACTTGTATTCCATATCCAATGACAATATCTTTCAAAAATGAGAAACACAGAGAATTCATAAGAGCAGACCTGCACTACAACAAATATTAAAAGAAATTCTTTAAGACTATACCAGATAGAAACGTGGATCTACATAAATAAATGAAGATCTCCAAAGACGATTAAAATGAAGGTAAAAATAAAATATACTTTATATATTATAATATAAATGTTATATATTATGTTATCCATATATTTACAAATACTATATATTATAATTTATAAATATAAAGTATTCTTTTCCTTATTTTAAATTGCTCTAAAGGTAACTGTCTCAAGCAAAAACAATACAACTGTGGCACAGGCTTATAGCATAAGTAAAAAAAAAGGATGACAACAGCAGCACAAAAGATGGGAGGGAGGATGTGGAGTAGACTATTGTAAAGTTCTTACATTATAGATGAAGCAGTATAATATTACTTGAAGGCAGACTGTGATTAATTAAAGATGTATACTACAAACCTTAGGGCAATCACTAAAAAAATTATAAGGAGAGGTATAAATAATAAACCAACAGTGGAGTAAAGTGAAATTTAAAATACTCAATTAAAAAACCTCATGGAAATAGAGGGGAAAAGGAAGAAAGAACAGATGGAATAAATAGGAAACAAACAGATGGTAAATTTTAAATGCAACCACACTGATAATTAATTATATGCAAATGGCCAAAAGACACTAGAGACCATAATATTGGACAAAAAAATTAATAAATAAAGACTGTATATGTTGTCTATAAGAAGCTCCACTTAAAGTAAAAGAATGGTGGTCAGCAGACTTCTAAGTTGGCCCCCAGTATTGCCCACTCTCCTGTTGTACATGCCTTGTGTAACCCCCCCGACTGTGAATCTGATGGATTTCACTCCCACGATTAGGTAATGTTATTATGGCACAGTTGGCCTTAGGGCAGGGAAATTATCCAAGTGGTTCTGACCTCATCACATGAGCTCTATAAAAGCAGAGTCATCTCTAGCAGGTGACAGAAGGGGCAATCAGACCAATCTGAAGCAGGAGAGGGATTCCATGTGAGGGAGGACCTCCACTGCTGAAACGGAGGGTGCCATCGGGGTGAAGATCTGAGAGTGACCTCTAGAAGCTGGAGTCCCACAACTCAACCCTACCAGCCTGAATGAGTTTCCAGACAAGAGTATAAAACAGCTGACTCTGATTTCAGACTGTGAGATCTGGACAGAGCTTCCGACGTATGAGCTAATGAATAGGTGTTGTTTAAAGTCACTAAGTTTGTTGTAATTTATCACATAGCAAAGAAAACTAATATAGATGGAAAATCACATACCATGCACACACTAATCAGAAGAATTAGTGTCTAAATTACGACCAGACACTTTGGAACAAGGCATATTATCAGCAATAAAGACAGATATTATATAATGAGAAAGAAGTCAATTCATCAAGAAGATATAACAATCCTAACGTGTCTTCACATAATAACAGAGCTTCAAAAGATATGAAACAAAAACTTAAAGAACTGAAAGGAGTAATAAATCCACTGTTATAGGTGGAGATTTCAATACTCCTCTCTTATTACCTGATAGAACAAGAACAGAGAAAATCATCCAGGATACAGAAGACATGAAGAACAACATTAAACCAACCTGACCTAGCTGGTATTTACAGAATACTTCACCCACAAGTGCAGAACACAGATGATGTTCAAATAAATGCAAATTCAACAGTTTTCAAGACACCCATGTTTCTGGCCATTAAACAAATTCCAAGAAATTTAAAAAAACTGAAATTGTACAACATATGTTCTGTGATCACAATGAAATAAATAACAGAAAAATATCTGGAAAATCTGGAAATTTTTGAAAATTAGACATGCTTCTAAATAACTCATAGGTAAAAGAGAAAATGTATTTTTTAGGATTTTATTTATTTATTTTAGAGAGATTTTAGGAGAAAGAAAGGGAAACATCAATATGTGAGAGGCACATTGATCGGTTGCCTCTTGCATGCCCCAACTGGGAACCTGGCCCGTAACCTAGGCACATGCCCTGATCAGGAATCGAACCTGTGCCATTTTGGTTCACAGGCTAGTGCTCAATCCACTGATCCACATCACCCAGGGCTGAAATTAGGAAATATTTTGAACTGAATAAAAATAAAAACGAAACACATCCAAATTTGTAACATGAAGCTAAAGCACTGCTTAGATGGAAATTTAAATGTTCATAGTTAAAAAGAAAGTCTCAATCCAATCAGCTCTGCTTTCACCTTAAGAAACTAGAAAAAGAGCAAATTAAGCCCAATGCAAGCAGAAGGAAATAATAAACGTAAGAGCAGAAATCAATGAAACTGAAAACAGAAAAAGAAACATCAGTGAAATCAAAAGCGGGTTCTTTGAAAAGATATATTGAAGGGGACTAAATGGTAATAGAAAAAGATACAATAAAGATTATATTTTTAAAAAAGAAAAGACATATTGATAAGCTTCTAGCCAGACTGACCAAGGGAAAAAAAAAGCCCAGAAATTACCAATATTAGAAATAAAGGAGGGGCCTCACCACAGCTCTTCAGACATTAAAACACAAAGGGAAAACTACAAACAACTTTATGCTCATAGATCCAACAACTTATGTGACACGGGCAAATTTACTGAAAGACACAAACTAATAAATCTCACCTAAGAATAAATAGCTAACTTGAATGGTTCCACGGGTATTAAAAAACACTTGACTTTTCAGTTAAAAACTTCTAACAAAGGAAACCCCGGATCCAGATGGTTTCACTAACAAATTCTATCAAATATTTAAGGAAGAATCAAGTTACAAATCAGGTTACAAAACACTGATAATAAATCAGGTTACAAAACATGGTAATAAATCAGGTTACAAAACATTGAGACTCCCATCTTGCTAGTAGACTCTCTTTATTACCTTTTTGGTTTGCAAGCTGCCATGTGGGAAAGGCCCATCTGACAAAGAACAGAAGGCCACAGCCAGCAGGGACGGAAGAGCCCATGAGGCTAAATTCTACCAACACCAGAGCAGGAGCCTGAAGCAGACCCTCCCCTAGTCACGCCTCCAAATGAGGTACCTTGACTGCAACCTCCTGACTGACGGAAGGAGAGGACCCAGCAACGCCATGCCTGGACTCCGGACCCACAGGAATAATGAGGTAATAAGTACGGGTTGTTTTAAGCCAATAAGTTTTAGAGTAATGTGTTAGGCAGCCATAGATAATACGCTGATTAAAGAAATCAAAGACCTAAAAAAATGGAGATATAGTGTGTTCATAGATTAGATGATTCTAAATTGCTGTAAGAATCTTGCCAAATTCATCTGAGGTAACCCAACGCCAATCAAAATCCAATTAAGGTTTTCTTTTTTTGAGAAGCTGATTCTAAAACTATAAAATTCCCAGGACAGAGAAAATCTTTGTGACTTTAGATTAGACTTTGTGACTTTAGATTTAAACTTTAACAGTACCAAAAGCACAATGCATTATTGCATTTTATACTTGGAACCTACAGAATGGCTTCTATTGTATGATGCTTACTGAGTGGAAACAAAAAACCCCAGAAGATCAAGAGCATGAGAGAAAGAGATGAGATATCCCCTAATATCCACTCTCTCTTTTTTTCTTAATAGAATTTCCAATTTAGTTGGACACATGGAATAGACTATATCATTTCTTCTTTATCACACAGTATGGCCATATCTAAATTGTGGCCAATGGAAAATAAGTGGAAGTACAGTGCATAATTTCCTGAGAAGGACTATAAAGAATTGGGTGTGCCCTTCTACACGCCTTTTCCCGGCTGACCTGTGGACATGACAGTTAGAGCCTCAGCAGCCATCTTGGACCACAAGGTAGATGACACGTTCTAGGGATGAAGAAGTGGCAAGTCAAGAGGGTTCTACCGTAGGACTCTTTCTTTTTTTAAGATTTACTTACTTATTTATTTTTAGAGAGGTGGGGGAAAGAGAGGGAGAAGAAGAGGGAGAGAAACACCAATGTATTAGAGAGACATCAATCGGTTGCCTCTCCCACACCCCTAATGGGGGCACCTGGTCCGAAACCCAGGTATATGCTCTGACTGGGAGTCAAACCAGCAACCTTTTGGTTCACAGTTCGGCACTCAATCCACTGAGCCACACCAGCCAGGGCTTGACCTTAAGACTTTTTAAACGCCCCCTGCATGTGCCTACACTGGACTTCTGTTACGAGAAAGGGAAATAGAGCTCAGTCTTGCTTAAGCCATTATTGTTTTTTATTTTTTATTTTTAAACTCACAGCCAAAGCTAATCCTAACCATACACGGTGAGATTTCATTCCTCACAAAGGCAGTGCCAGAGTGAGACTCATGAGGAACTCTTGCTACACAGGTTATGGAGCTGCCAGTTCCAGTCCATTCCCAGCTTAGTTTCTCTTCAACCTTCCTGATACCTATATAATTTCACTACATTCCCTTTTTGCTTAAATTACACACAATAGGTTTCTACTGTTAGCAAACAAAGAACCTTAACTAATCAAACACATTTTATACACTGTAGAAAAATTTGAAGTGTTTTGGTTGAGTGTCTATTTGTATGAGCAAAAGAAAAAAAAATTGCCACGGATATAATTCTGGACTCGAATCAGCCCAAGTCATCCTGTTTTACACATTAGGCCGCTTTTCATGCCCAGTACCTGTAGCCCAGTAGTAAATATCCCAGTCATTACTGGGCTCATTGATCAGGCGATCATAGAGGTTCAGCTGTTTCTCTGTCATGTGGTGCAGATATTCTTTAGCAAAGAGGCTAAAAATGACACAGAGAGAGAGAGGTTAAAAATTGTCCCCAGTCAAAGAGAAGTGACCCCAAGACTCCCGTGTCCTCACCTGAGCAGAATGCAGTTCTCCAGCATCCCCCGCTTCCTGCTCTCATAGAGCAGGCGCGCTCTTTTGGTTTCTATGGATTCATCGGTTCGTTCCTGCCACGGAGGCAAAGGGATTTCAATCATATCTTTCTGGGAGTCTGTCGGGCTGTCACCTCTGTAGAACCGGCTGAATGATGTCATGCTGAGCAAAGGAGACACTAGGTGGCGCCTTGACAGAGCAAGCATCTGAAACAAGTAAACCACATTTTTTTTTAACATCAAATAACATCATTGCCATCTGCTCAACATCTACTAGGCATCAAATACATTTGATCTCATTTAGTCCTTAAAAAGCTATGCTGATACTGATCCCACTTTATGGAAGCTGAAGCTCAAAGAGCGTAAATAACTTACCAAGGTTACCCAAATAGTAACTGTAGTTAGAACTGAAGCCTAGTTCTAACTGCAAACATGTTCTTAACCATTGCCCTTCCAGAAATTCTTCAGCAGAAATATTTTCTCCTTCCTTAAATTCCCTTATGGTATGATCAGTATTCTAGTTATTTGACTGAGTTAAGATCTGAGCACACAATGATGGCATGGACCCAAATCCTCCAAGGCCTCCTGATCTAGAGAAAGGCAAAAACTATCAAGATGCAACGAGAAAGTGGTAACATCAGCAAGATCGCAGAATAGGAAGCCTCACATTCTCCTCCCACAGTCTCACATATGCAGGCCAATGCCCTTTATGAGAAATCCAGAAACCAGTTTAGAGGTTCCTAACCCCCAGACAAGCACAAAAACAGCTGTATCAAAGCTGGAAGGAAAACTCATGACACTCATTTACCATAGTTCCTGCCCCTAGCTCAGCCTGGGGCAACTGAAGAAAATTCTTAGCTCCTGGTTTCTCCAAAGGGGAATAATGAGAAGCCTGAAACATACGTCCAATGTGCAGACTTGCTTAGTGTTTGTCCTCTCTGAATCTAATTGCTGACAGGAAAGGACGCCGGGTTGGGGGCTGCTAAGAACACAGGTGAGGTTTTGGACTAGCACACACTTGTCCACCATGTTCACTACTGCTGGCTCAGCACAGAAGCAGCAGAAAAACCCCAACTCCTGGCTTCTTCCTGGGGAGGTAAGAGTTGGGATGTATGTCCAATGTTCCAGCCTTTGGGGGAGGTATCTGAGAGAATGGTTTCTGTCTCATCTGCCTCAGAGCACTGATAGGACCCAGCATACGCTAAATGCCAGCAGCCTCTGAAGACAAAAAGAGAACTGGAAAGCTTGATGCTGCTCCAGAGGACTCATGGGAGACAGGGGCCAATACAGCTTGGCAGCCTCTCCCTTGAGAAGGGAAGAAGAAGGGAGCAGGCATCCAAAATTCCTGCTTTCCAAGGAGCTGCTCAAGAAATTGGTTTCTGTCTTCACCAACTTGCAGCTTTGATGGGACCTGGAATACTCTAGAAGCTTAGGGACTACTGAGACCAAGAGGAGCTGGGAGGCTTGTGGCAGCTCCACAGAATCTGCAGTACCACAGACAGACACCAGAGGGAGGAAGAGGTTAATGAGTTTCTGAAAACAGCCAGCAAATCGTCTGATTGGAAATTTATGTCCACAAACCCAGAGCAGATACACGCAAAACAGTTGAGGGAGCCCCCCCAGAATCTCGATCAGGGCTGAGTGGTGAAAGTCTTTCCTTGTACAAAGCCAGTCCAAAACTACTGTGAGAGGTGGCTGTTTTTTCAAAGGACTGAATCCCAACACAAAGTTGTACAGGATGTGACAAAACAAGGAACTGTAGCCCAATCAAAAAAACAAAGTCTCCAGAAACTGACCCAAAAGAAACAGAGATATGTGAATTACCTGACAAAGAACCTAAAATAACTGTCATCAAGATGTTCAATTAGCTCAAAAGGATAATGCATGAACAACATGAGAATATCAACAAAGAGGAATATTAAGAAGAACCAAACATAAAGTTTGGAACTGAAGAATAACTGAATTGAAAAATTCAGTATCAGGGTTAAACAGCAGACTTCATCAATCAGAAGAAAGAAACACTAAGATAGGTCATTTAAAATTACCCAGAGAAAGAAAAAGAAAAAAGAATGAGGAAGAGTAAAGTACACCTAAGAGTCTTATGGGACATCAATAAGCAAACCATTATACACATTGTGGGAACCTCAGAAGAAAAAAGAAAGAAGCAGAAAGCTCATTTGAAGAAATAATGGTCAAAAAAAATCTCAAATATTGGAAAACAAATAAACATTCAAATTCAAGAAGCCCAAAGGATCTAAAGTGTACTAGAGAGCAAAACAAAAGCATATGGAAGCATAAAGCTCACTAGCAAAGGTAAATATACAACAAACCCAGAAGACCGCAATACTGTAAAACTGTACATAAATCACTTTTAATTCTGATATAAAAGTTAACAAAAACATTTTTTTAAAAAAAGTATGCCATGACAGACGTGGCTCAGGGTACACAATATAAAACATGTAATTGTAATATTAGTAAATGAAGTGTGAAAGAATAGAAGAGCAGCATTTTGTATGAAATCAAAGTTAAATTGTTATCAGCTTAGAATTATAAGATTTTTTTTGTAAGCTCCACAATAAACACAAAGAAAATACCTGTAGAAGATACACAATAAAAATTTTAAAAGGAGCCAACCAGTGTGGCTCAGTTGGTTGGGCGTCATTCTGCAAAGCAAAGGGTCACAAGTTTGATTCCCGGTCAGGACACATACCTGGGTTGCAAGTGCGGTCCCCGGTTCCCAAGTATACAGGAGGCAACCAACTGATGTATCTCTCTCCCTCTTTCTCCCTCCCTTCCCCTCTCTTTAAAATTAAATAAATAAAATCTTTTTTAAAAATTAGAAATCAGAGCATGTCTCTACTTTAAAAATCCACAAAAGACAAAAAATAATGAGAGGAAAAGGGACAAAGAAGCGACATGACAGACAGAAAACAATTAACAAAATGGCAATAGTAAGTCCTTACTACCAATAATTATTTTAAATGGAAATGTATTAAACTCCCCAACCAAGATACATAGAGTGGCTGAATGGATTTAAAAAACAAAAAAGTTCAACTGTATGCTGTTACAAGAGGCTCCCTTTAGACGTAACGACACATGTAAGTTGAAAAGTAAAAGGACGGAAAAAGGTATTCCATGCAAATGGTAACCAAAAGTGAGCAGAATGCCCCTACTCATATCAAACAAAATAGACTTGAAGTTAAAAACTGTCACAAGATAAAGAAGGACATTATGTAATAATAAAAAGTTCAATTAATCAGAAAGATATGACAATTATAAATACATATGCAATCAACATCAGAGCACCCGAATGTATGAGGCAAGCACTGACAGCACTGAAGAGAGAAATAGCAACACAATCAATAGATTACAATACCCCACTTTCAATAATGGACAGAACATCCAGAGAGAACATCAGTAAGGAAACAGAGGACCCGAACAACACTATAGACCCAATCACCCAAACAAGTATATACAGAACATTCCATCCAACAGCAGCAAGAATACATTCTTCTCAAGCACACTGGGAACATTCTCCAGGATAGATCATGTGTTTAGTTACAGAATAAGTTTGCCTAAGAAGATTGAAATTCCACAGTGGAATGAAACTAGAAATCAATAGCTGAAGGAAAACTGGAAAATTTACAGATATGTTAAATTAAATAACGCACTTAAAGGTTCAAATGAGTCAAAGAAGAAAACGAAAGGGAAATCAGTTAGAAAATATCTTGAAAGACACAACATACAAACTATCAGATATAGTAAAAAGTAGTACTAAGGGAGAAGTATACAGTGGTAAACACCTACATTAAAAAAGAAAGACCTTATGATGCTATGTGAAATCATGATAGGTATTAGAGAAGACTTAAGAACAGAGATTAGGGGCGCCCAGAGGTAGTCGGGCCAGCTCCACCTAGGCAATAGTTGAAATCCGAATTGGGTCTCGCAGGAAGGCTAATCGTTCAAATACTGCAAGACAGGCACACAGTGGGCTCAGGAAACGGTGGAAGCGACTTGAGTCTCCTAATTTTGCAAGATTGACCTCTCCTTGGGTTTGTCCTTGCCCTGGGCTATCAAGCCGTTGGATGCTCCCCACGGTCTCTAAGAGAGCGGATGAAAACGAGATTCAGTCTCTACCGTGGCCCGCCTGGGACCGTTAAACCTCCACCCTCCTCACCCGCGTCAGAGCCGGGAACACGGTGGCCACTGCCATTTTTCCCGACCTGTACCGGAAGCCTGCGGCCCGGAAGCCGGGAACCCCAGGACGCCGGCCTTGCGGAAGACATTTCCCTGCGTATAGCGGAAGTTGCTGTGCGTATGACGCCCGTGGCGGAGTTGGGGGGGAAGGCGGGATCTGGGGGCCGAGAGCGGTTCGCGCGCTTCGGGCCTAGTCTGGACTCGCCGCCTCCGCCGCCATATTCCCGGTAACGGGGGCGCGCGGCCGGGGGCCGGCTGGGCCGGAAGAGGGCTCCGGGGCCGACGCTGAGGCGGGGAGGGGGTCGGTTGAGTTTGGGGCAACCGGAGTCGGCGGACGGAGGCGCGGGCCTTTGTGGGAGGGGGCCGAGAGCGCTGGGCCGGGTCTGTGGGGAGGGAGCGGGGCGGGCCTAGTTGGGGGCGAGGATTGGGCCGGGGTGGGGAGCGGGGGCGGCCGGAGCTCCGGGACCTGAGGGGACTCTAGCCGGGCCGCTTAGGGGCCTAGGCAGGTGCGCCAGGCTGGGGCCGCGGGTTTTGCGTTGGGCGTTCTTCGCAGCGCCGTCCGTGGGCCCCTTTAGGAGAGGCCTGGACTTTCTCGTCGTGCCACGGCCAGCTGCGGCGCAGCTCAGGCCGGGCCCGAGGGTGATGGGTAGCGAGCCCCGCGAGCCTTGGCGGCCTGGGAGAGCGAGGGGCGGCGCGAGACCGGGGGCGGGGCGGAGCGGGTGGGGCCGAGCTCGGGCTGCCTAGAGGTTGCGTCTCTGGAGACGGGAGGTTGGCAACCATTGCCCTCCTTCCTACCTGGGATCCACATGCCGTCTAACTGTTGCCTCTTTCTGGATATGCAGTGGCATCTTTCTTACTTTGTGCGTTTTCCGGGCTCGCGATCCGCCTTCCGGAGCCATGTCAGAAGGAGTGGACTTGATTGATATATACGCTGACGAGGAGTTCAATCAGGTGAGGGGCCGTGGAGAGCGCGGGGATTTTCCGGGAGCAGCGGAGGAACCCCTTCCAGCATAGTCGCGGTGGTTCCAAGTTAAGCCAGGCCTCGAGGCCTTGGCCTGAAAATGCGCCTTTGAGCTTTTAAATTCTCCCTCTCGTTCAGACTTTCAAGACTTCTGACCATTCCGCTTTATGTTAATTTAAGCCTCCGGGCTTAATTTTAAAGGCTTGATTTAAAAGCAAATAAAAATCAGGTTTAGTGGAATGGTGAGTCAACCTGTGGAATGTGCTGCCCAGGAAGCCAGAGTTGGATGTCTGTCTCCTCAAAGACCGACCGCACTTGAAAATCGGATTGGTTTGCTGTAGTATTGGTGGGGGCAGTGTTGGTGCCGGTTCCTTCGTGATTCCCTCAAAGGGCCGCGGGAAGAAGGCTGCTAGGCCCTGTCCCGCGAGGCAGGGCAAAGGCACAGCGCAAAGGTACTCTTAACGTTTAATTGCAGTTCCATTCTGGTTGTTTTACATCTTCTATAAGTAGCCGCACTTCAGTCTTAAGAAGTCCATAGACGTTTTCGTGTAATAAATTTTATTGAAGAATCTAATTATTTGGGAGATGAGGGGAGAGGTAAAGGTTTTGGATAAACGAGGTAAACAGCGAGGGTAGACCCACTTACGTATTCTACGTTCAATTTGTGGTGCCTTTATGTTACATCAAGGAACATTACACAATGGTTTCCCTTGAGCTCTTGAGGTCATATCTCAAGAATGTTTCAAAGTCTCTATTTAAAGCTTATTAATATCTTGCCTGGATTGTTTTCAGCACCATATTACTGCAGTAAGCTGGTTCTTCCCATTGGCATCTTTTAATGGGTACACTTGAGGACTTGGAGAAAGGGTAGAAAAAAACCAAGCTAGAGACCGGCTGGTGTGGCTTAGCGGACGAGCAGCGGCCTGGGAACAGAAAGGTCGCAGGTTTGATTCCCAGTCAGGGCACAGGCCTGGGTTGTGGGCCGGGTCCCTGGCTGGGGGCGTGTGAGGGGCAGCCATTCGATGTGTCTTGCACATTGATGTTTCTCTCCCTCCTTCCCCTCTCTCTAAAAATAAATAAATAAAATCTTTTTTTAAAAAAAAGAACAAACTAGAGAAAGGAAGTACACTGCTTGGACTCTGACTTTTACATGAAGCAACAAGAGGTTGAAATACACGCTCTTTTTTTCACTTGGCATAAGTGTACATTTAAAAAGCTTCTTTAAATGTATTATGCCTTTTTAACATGGAGATTTAAAAACATGAAATTAGCATAGTGAATGATCTCGTACCTGTTATACAGCTTCACCAGTTACACTTTTTAATAGTCATTCTCTGGTGTCTCCTTGGGTAAATTGGATGCATCTACATGTGGCAGTTGACTGACTTAAATACATGAAAAAAATTTTGAAATTTCAAATGAGTCAATTATTTGGGGATAAAAAGAAAGGTTTAGTGTATTAGTTTAGTTACAAAACATTCCTTTCCTGAGTTTTCCATGTTACTTTGAATCAGACTTTTACTAGTGTTTAACAAATTATTTTTGGTTTGCTTTTTAAATACAAGACGGCAAGAAAAGAAGACTCTGGTAGTGGAGTGACTCCCTTGTGTGGGTGCATAACAGCACTGCTTTGGGAAATGGGCGGGATGGGATCCTTGACCGTGGGTCTAACCACATTTGGTCTAAGAAAGTGAGATTTCATTATTTGTTAAACAGCGTAAGTTAGGAGTCATAAATAAGATACAGGCCTTGCCCAGAGGTCACTGCTTTGTCAGAGTAGAAGTCATTGGCCTCAACAATTTGTGTCCTCTGGTCTCTTATTAAAAATGATTTTTTATGGGTCTGAGATAGGCCAAAGATGGTATGTGAGATCTCGTAGACATTTATACCAGGCAGTGTTTGATGCTTAGCAAGTTGAAGAAAGTGTGGATTTTGAATGCCTTGTGGAAGGTTGGGGGAGGAGTCCCCTCCCCCATCAGTGAGTGAACTTTTGCCAGAGGTGGTTTTAGTGTAATTTGGAGGCTGCTAAAAAAAATGATAAAAGCTCTGTCTGGCTAGGATTATTAGAAACAGGCTGAGACTGAAGGCAATCCATTCAGGTAGTGCTTTAGAATGTTTTAAGAATGTCATTGATTCACCCCAAAGTGACCCATGCCCAGAAAATTCGTCATGTGTACTTTACACCCCAGGGATAATGAATGCATTTCCTAGATGGAACCCTATGGTGCTGACTCCCTGATCTCTTACATGTGCTGCAAAAGCCTCTTTTACAGAGCTGTTTCACTCCTGTTACAGAGCGGGTCTCGAGACTCTCAGCCGCCCTCTAAGGTAGGGGAGAACAGCTCCGGAATAGCCACCGAGAGCTGCCTCTCTCCTGAGTGAGTTCTCTCTTCCTTGTGCAAGGCAAGCAGGCACTTTGCAAAGTATGCACAGTTCTCTTCCTTACTTCCATCAACAAGTATCTCTTGAGCTACTACTGTTTGCTAGGCACTGTGTTGGGACTAGTGAGGGAAAATGCATCCATGTGCTCAAAAGAGGTGTTCCTGGTGACAGGGAAGGAGGCTGGGAGGTGAGAACTGTGGAAATGGTAATTACAAAACCTAAAGCTTTTAGCTTTGGTTACGGTTAAACAATGGTGTCAAGTAGGTTGCTTCGAGAAAAATAAATTTGAGGCTTTATTATTGCTGCAGATATCAGGGAAAGGGGACTGGAGGTGAGCATGCAGGTAAGGAATTGTTGTTCACGTTTAAAATTCTGCGAGTTCTCTTGTTAACCCTGAAGCTTCATGACACAATCACAGTTCTTTCTATGCTATTAAACACACAACTCTGTGAGATAGTTATTCAGTATTAAATACATACCTTTTTTAAAAGTAAAAGTTTTTTCTTTTTATTTGTTCTTAAATTTTTTTAAGTAAAAATTTCATTGTTTACTTAATTTGTAAAATTACATTTGTCTTAACCTAATCCATCACTGCATAAATCATTGGTTTATTTGGTAATGAGAAAAACCTCAGGCCATTAGGTGTTTTTTGTTTTGTTGGTCTGTTTTGTTTTTTTTGCCTTAACCAACTGAAGAAGTAAAGTGAATTGGTGTCGCTAACAGATACCTTGTTTCCTCAATAAAATTTTACCTCAACACGGTCCTCAGCAGGCCTGTCCCATGCATCAGAATAGTTCCTGTCAACTTTGAACTGAAAGGTCTGTGGCCCAGAGGGACCATTTCAATCTTGTGACAGTTTTGTGCTTGTTGAATCCCTTTGTGTTTCTGAAAGTGATAAGGTAATCCATACGACAGGGTCTTCCAGGATTGAGTTTATCATTCTCTAAGGTACCCTGAGAGAGTAGATGGTTTGTCTAGGTTTATAGTATGGGGCACTTCCTGGTGATACAGTGGCCTTCTGAGCTGTCCAAAGCTGCATATTAGTTTGCTACCCAATCATCAGTGGCAATTTTTGTGTTACACCTTTTAGGCACACATCTCTGAATCACAGGTACAACTTGGAAGGAATTCCAGTTTGATTCTGTTGACTGTCCATATGGTGTGTTTCCTTATTCCCTTTAAGTTCCATTTCAAAATCTTTGATTTAAAAAAAGCAACCTAGTGTGAAGTAGTGCTTTCAAAGATTAGATCATTGGAAAGGATCAAGTGCTTTCTCTACCTTGAACCAAAAGGTAAATCACTATAGCTGGTACATCAATGAATAAATGTTTTCTTGTCTTTAAGCTGCCCCTAAAAAGTTTCTCTTGCCATTCTCTAATATTTTCTGCAAGGTTTAAACTCCTCCCCTGTGGGGTTTCTCAGATCTTTGGAATTACATGCCTCAGGAAGTAAACTCTTTTCCCCCGTCACTAACAAAACAATCAGACATATGATCTTAGTATGCATATTCTTCCATTATACTTCGGATAAGCTGAGAAACTAAAAGATTGTTTCCAGAAGTTTGTGAT